CGGGAATGAAGAGAATCTTATAGTTCAAAAACATTCATTCAAATTTGCAATTGCACTGCCAGAAGAGGATTCCTTTAACATTAAAAAGTCAGGAAGTGAGGAACAAACTGAACTGTAGTCACCGTGGTTTGCAGAACAACTTGTGGTTTCTCCTGGAAAATTTTGTAAATAGTCTACAACACTCCTGGTTTTAAGAAAAGGAGATTGACCCCTAGTCTATTATTATTTTGGTTTGAATCCTAGAGCCTGTCAGATGATTGATTGATTGATTGATTGATTGCAATAATTTATATCCTGACTTCCAGGATAATAATAGGTCTCCCAAAATGGCTTATAGTCAATGATAAATAAAAATCAAATAAATATTGCTAGGATCCTTTGCACAGGTGGTGATGGCCCCTCTCTGGGGTCCTCGAAATCAAAATTATTTGCTAGATATTGAAAATACTTGCAAAAATTTGAAACAATGATACTCTTCTCATTTTTTATTTGTTAAACATATTTTTTTTCATGAAAAAAATTATTTATATTAATATCTAAAGGGTTTAATATTATTTTTACCTGATTTAATACATAAATATTCTATGAGTGCATCAAATTTAATTCTTAATATGGTAAATATGGATAAATATAACCCCTACACACAAAAGCTCTTTTGGGGTCCTCTGTAATTTTTAAAAGTGGGAAGGGGTCCTGAGAGCAAAAAGTTTAAGAAACACGGCTATAGGAACAAAATCTGGAAAGCATGACTGCATTTCCCCTTCCCTCCCTCTTATACTCCAGAGGTCAGGGTAGAACCAGTTTGAGTTTCTTTTTAATATTTTGTTTGCAGGCTTAAAGCATATTTTTTGTAATTGTTGCTGCATAGTATCTCCAAGGGCTCTCTACGTTGGTTGATCTTTTTTTTAACACAGCTTCATATTCTGACTGTGTAGAATTTTACAAAAATGAAATTTGTAAGCAAACGCCAGATTTAAGGAACTGTCAGTAGATGAACATTGATTTAGCTGAGTTATGTAATGGGGGGAAAAGGAAGGCAGAGTAGTTAAAGTTGTATTTTAAATATCTACCACAAAGTTACAGGAATTGCGTTGCTACCTGTCAGTTAATTTCACATTGGTATCTGTTTAAAATGCATCTTTGCTTTTCTCTTGACAGGGGATTATTGACAGAAAAGGCAGCCCCTGTCATGAATATAATCCACAGCATCTTTAGCCTCATTTTAAAGTTCCGTAGCCAGTTAATCTCTCAGTCGTGGAATTTTGATAGCAGCAAACAAGTGGCTGTTCATCCCAACTTTGGATTAATGCAGCAGTCCTATAATACGTTCAAATATTACTCTCATTTTCTGTTCAACGGTAAGACTTGTGTAGTTTGTCTGAAATGTTAGTCTGGAAATCAAAAGGAAACTTATGTATTGCATAGTGGAGTAATTTTGTTTAAGATTATATTAAGGTCTATGTTAACTTAAGACTAGTTAAGATAATTTATTATCAGTTTTCTTAGAGCAAACCTTCAAGGAAACAATGACCTGTATTTAAGGTGAAGTGCGTGCATAGAAGACAAACCTGGATCTAGACTTGCACTTCATTTCCTGTTCAGTTAAAGCATCATTTAGTACTGAGTTGGTCAAACCTGCAAATGCCTCTGCCCTGCTTCTGCAGTCTGCAGTGTCCCATCCACCTTGCCCTGCTACCCAACTCCTCACTTTGCAACAGTTTGCATAAAGGAGGGCAAGAGGCAACAACAGTATTTCACTTTCCTCCACCCTGTTCACAGTTGTTTGGTTCCTTACTGTAAATATGCAGCAGGTTCACCCTGCCCCCTGCCCCAAATTAAGAACCTTCTTTATGGACAGCATGCACTTTTTCCTTGAGCCCCACTTCCATCCTCTTGTTCTGAGCCTTATGTCCAATCCTTGCCCTCTTTATTCAGAATCAAGTCCCACTGTAGTTGGTAGACCTTACAACCGTTATAAGCAAAATCTGCTGATTACTGCCATGTTTACCAATGCATTTGCTAGCATCTCCTTCATAGTAGACACCTAAAACTCATTTGCCAGAGCAGGATGCTGGACAAGGTTCTCTACAATTAAATGAAACTTTGCTGGGACAAATAATAGAGAGTGCAGGATTTGGTGTACATCATCCAGTTGATGCACACTATTGCAAGGATTCCAGGGGCTACTTTGCTTTTCCAGTAAGAACATTCAGAAGAGACTCAATAGCATCTCTCTTGCCACAAGCTGTTTCAGACAGACTGTGAAGATGCAGATTCAATTAATGGATTGATGGATTTTCTAAGCTTTCCTTTTTTCCCCCCTTTCCCTGCAGTAGTAACAAAGCTTGTCAACAGAGGGTACCAGCCTCACCTGGAAGATTTCTTATTGCGAATTAACTTTAATAACTATTACAAAGATAGTTGAACTTTGACAACAGACTAACTGCTCTGTGTATTACAAAGAACCCAGGCCATTTGAAAGCTGATAACCTCAGAAGCTTTGAAAAAAGATTTTCCACTGAAAATACTGATGGAGTGGAACCGACTCCACTGATACTGCAAGATACTCCATTTTCCCCACATAGCATACTGTCTTCTCAGTTCAGGGAAGCATGTTTCCCATGTTGGTGTGATGATCAAAGTGTGCATTGATGTAAATTTGTTAATGTGTAAATTCTTCCTTTAGCATTGTGAAAGTTTCTCATGTAAATGTGTAATAAAGAGCATAGCAAAAGCGTATTATTTTGTAATGGATATGCAGATGTTCAGAGTAAAAAAAATTGAATTCCTGACAGTTACCTCTTTGTGGATAGATTTAATAATTATACGTATGCAAAAATCCAGAATCTGTTTATTTAACTATGCTGTAATGGCCTATAACTGTAGATGCTGTGAAGATTTTTATAGATTTAATTATTAATTCCCCAGTACAGCTCCTATGCCTCTCACATTTCCCTTGGTGTTCACATAGTACTGTTTATTATTTTTTAATTACCCTCAAGGCACACCAGAGGACCATCTAGTGTCACTGGGAATTGGGCGGTATATAAATTTTACTATTATTATTGTTTTGGAATGGGAGGGAGGGAGGAAGGAAGGAAGGAGGGAAATGAGAGATTGTGGGGTAGTGCTGGATAAGAAAGTTGACTAGCACATTACCAAAGCTTTTAAGTGTATCTTCTGTGAAGTGATTATTCTGTTGTGCTTTGTAGGCTCACATATGTAGATTCAGTCTGTGTTGCATTGAGATTCTTTGCAAACTCACTTTGTGCTCATAACAGGACATAAATTTCTGAATGTGTTCATGGACACCAAGAAGGTGGAACTGCTTGTCTTCAAGTGAAGTCAAAAGTATCTCAGTTCCCAGGACTACACTCTAAAAAACCTCCCAAATCCTGTGTTAACATAATGCACAGTCCGTAGCAATAAAATCTTTACTTTTATGAATGTGTGCAATTAATGCAATGTGTCAGCAAGAATAAACTGGGAACTGAATCCCTGTTCCCTACTAAACATAATCAAGCAAACTTTTTTGTGAGTCAGAGATTTGGAGTTAGTAGTGAATAACTAACATATAGTATTATCTATTTTATGTAGGTGAGTACTGGACTGTTACTGTTTATTTTAGCACTAAATTACCAGCCAAAAATCCCTCAAGCTAACATAAGTTTATGTACTTTAGCCATCTGTTTAATATATTAGAGTACACTAAATCTGATTTTTCCTTGTTTTCAGTGTACATGATGCTTGGAATAGCAACTTCTAATAAATTATGCATATAGAATTGTAATGACAGTGTTCTGGTCTAATTGAGTCAGTGTTAAATAATGGAGTGGCATATGCAGTTTGAAAGGATTGAGAAAGTAAACAAATTTAGAAATCCAATTATACGTTCCTCAAAGCATTTTTATATTATTACAATCATAATTTATAAACTTTGGATCTAAGGCTTAGATTAATAGAGTAAAATGCATTGTGCAAAATCTAATGGAGGTCACATAGATTGCAAGTGGCATTTCAGCTCTTCTGAGATTATCCCATTTTTGGTTGGTGTTCATCTGATTGAACAAATTATAGTTATGTAGCAGTAGACCATGACAGTGTTTCTAGTAACAAATTATTTGGGTGGAGGATCAGCTTGGCAACATGAATTTGCATTATTGCCCAGGATGAAAATGGACAGATAGAAAGTGCAATCTCAGGAAATAGCAACATTTGGCTGACCTTGAAACTAAGCAGAGTTAGGCCTGATTAATATTTGGATGAGAGATCTCCATGGAATTTCAGGTCTACAGACCAGAATGGAAAGTCAAAAGCTAAAACAAAACCAGAAGAAAGCAATGATAAATCACTTCTGTACTGTTGCCAAGAGGCTGCATGGATGTGTTGGTGAAGCCACCAGAAGTTGAGTTTGACTGCACAACCCTGATAAATTTGAAATTTTACACAATATTATGGGAATATTTAAGAAATAATCAAAAAGAGAAAATAGTCAATAGAAAGCCATTATAGTACTACAGTGGCTTTTTTCTAAACTAGACATTCTTCCCTTTTCAATCTTTCTCATCTTTTTCTCTCTTTTATGGTGTAATGCTTGGGTAGATAAGGGAAGGTGAGGAGTTACTGATGATGCTCTACATGGCAGTTTTTCAACCTCAGCAACTTTTAAGATGTGTGGATTGCACCTCCCAGAATTCCCAGTCCTGCCCAGAGCAGTGCAGCCCCAATGACCAATCTCCTAACAGGTTTCCCAAATCATGTTCTGCATTATCATTCTAACTCTGCTGCATTTACACAAGTAGTCTTCAAAGAGTGTGCAGTCTAACAGCAACCCCTTCTCTTTGGGAAATAAGATGAATTCCATCCATTCAGGCCTCTCAACATAGGATCAATTTACTACAGTGCCATTCCAAAAACTAGAAAATTGTTGCACGTAATAATTTCAAACATTTCATCTCCTGATTTCCTTACCATAAAAAATAGACAATCTTTGCTATAAACATGATCAAATTCATTTATTTTCAATTAATATAGATCATGGTGATAGCTTTCAGATTTTATGCACTATGATGAAACCAACACCACTCATTTAAAAGTGCAATACTTAAAGCAAAGTAAAAACATTCACATGATGCATTTTTATTGCCAAAAAATTGAAACCCAAACCCAATAAAATTACTTGACTAATTTCATCCACATCTTTTGTTCTATTATGTTTTATTCAAACAAGTACCGAAAACAATTAAAGCCATAAAATAAAACCTTCTAATAGTACAACTTAATGGAAAAGAATAGTCCAGATTGTTATTTTTCAGAATTTCTTTTCTATCTACTATTTGTCAACTTCTCATCAATATAATCAAGGAATTCATTATTAAGGCAGAAAAAACACATCTCCTTCGAGATACATCACAGCTCTAATCAATAAAAACATGACAAAATGTCCTCTAACTGCAGCCATTGCCACTCACCCACTGAGACACTTATTGTAGTGGTATTCTTCAATAAGAAAAGATATGTTTTCATCCAGTTACTTTGCTGAACAATCTTCAGCTAAAATATACGCTGAATGCTATGGTCAAATGTAATTAAAATATAATTGGGCAATAACCCCAAATAGCAAAAAGTGGAAAAACGGAAGACTCTCCTGAGGTAGCAAATTTGGAACACAAAAAATACACGACCTATACAAAGTGCAACACTGGAATGCGGAAGGCTTGTTTAAAATCAGCAATTTATATTTTCACCTACTACAGTAATGTAGCTTAAAGGTGCCACTCTGAGGCTATATACCTTTAGTCAGGGGGCTAATGAATCACCCCTTGAGGACCAGAGTAGCAAAGTTAAATTCAGTTTGTTCATCTATCCAACAAGTAACTGGTGCCATTAACTTTGAAAATCTATTTTTGGGGGAATAAGGTGTTATGTATTCTTCATTCAGTGAAAGGAACTGCATGCAGAGACCCAGAAAACAGGATGCAGCCCTGAACCAAAAGCAAAGAAGAATTTGCTGTATGCGTCCTAATCCACAGGAGATATAGTGATTCAGGTTTCTGGATGCACATCCATGTGTATGTAGATTATCCTCATCCATATGTGATGGAGTTGTTGAAACTATTTGCCTGAATTGCACTTGCTTTTTTACAGTGCACAGTATTGCTATTTCCCTAAAGCCCAGTGATAATTTTTCAACAATCATGATTGAGTCACAAAGGTTCACAATACATGAACAACCCACTTAAGTGGAACACAGCTTCAAAATAAAAGTAATAGCGCACTTAACCTCGCCCCCCAATGAGACGGAATCAAAATACCCCTGCATAAGTAAAAATTAAAAACACAGCTCTGAAGTACTAGTAGCTCATTCTCAGACAAAAATACACCCAGCGTCTGGTTTCATATTTTTGTCTTCACAAACACAGATTTCATTTGGATGTTCGCCGGCCAGTATGCATAAAAAATATAATAGCGCTTCATGCTCAAGAGAGAAGATAAACTTTCATCTGCTTGGTCTCCCAGCACATGAAGCGGGTGCCCAGACAATTGATTGTCACATCTGATAAAAGAAACGTGGCTCAGATGAGACAGGAAAACATCCAAACGGTCTGTTTCAGACCTAACAGCACTTCTGTTGCGCCTTGCTGCCTTTCCACCCCTGAGAGCTTTGCAATCTCTTTGTGGAAAACTCTAGCAAGGCAGTTACGAAGATCATGTCACGCAGAGCTCAGAAGCCCAAAGTGGAGGCTTACTGCTGTATGGAATTCTCTCCTGGGTTCCTGAGCTGCATGTAGCAACAGCTGCCGCCGCCGCCGTCACACCTTCTTCCTCATCCCTATCCTCAGATACCTCCCCGAAGCCTTCTGAATCTTCGTATGGCCTTTCTAGGAGTTTCAAGACTTTTCTCACCTGTAGAGAAAAGAAAGGATACCAGACAGCAACCCAGGAACGTTCTTAATAGCGCCCTTTGGATGTGGGGCCACCCCCTGCACATCTCACACGAATTTGGCTGATTGGTTTTATTGCTTTTGGCAGCAAATCTGGAATGATTTTTCTTGATCCTGGACTTTGAGTGATATGGATTACTGGTTGTTCAATTTTATTGTTGTTTGCTTGTAAGTTTTAGTATGCCACTCAGAATCCCTGCTATGAGATGGGTGGGCAAAGAAACATATAAATATGGAAAAAAACTGTTTACCTCTAGGAAGTCACCATTTTCTGCTGCTTCAATAGCATTTTGAGCAATATAGTTTCTCAGGATATACTTGGGATTGTTGGCATTCATAATTTTCAGACGCTCATCATTCCAGGTGTCAATATTACTAATGTGCTCCATTTCTTTTTCTAGCCTAACTCTGAAAGCACATAAAAGCAAGTGCCCAGATCAACACATCTGAAATGATTCCTTTAAAAGGGACTGTTAAAAAAATGACCTTAATTTGAATATATTCTAAAAGTATGTAATACAAGATAAATCTCATAGTGCTTAGCTAAATATGTAATATTAACAAATGAAAAACAAGAAATTATGGAATAGTGTTAGATATGTTGATGAAGATTCTCAGTTATCCAGGTGGAATTGTCTGGAGGTTGAGTCATGGCAACTGGACTTCTTTTCTTTTGGTTTGATACGTTTCGCTGCTTGTCCAAGCAGCTTCTTCAGTCTAGAAAGTTGGGGGGGGGGAATCTCCTACTGTCCCTTCAATGAGCCCATCATGTTAGTGAGGAATGCAGCCATCCTGGTAGCCATTTATGAGGTCCCACTAACCAACTTTCTAGACTACAGAAGCTGCTTGGACAAGCAGTGAAACGTATCAAACCAAAAGAAAAGAAGTCCAGTTGCCATGACTCAACCTCCAGATAATAGTATCAGACACAAACATTTATCTGCATTTCACAGGGCAAAGATGGAATTGGTATTAGGTAATTTCTAAACATATTTCAACAAAAGAAAAAAAAACCTCCACTAATATTACTAAAGCAAAGAGAATGTAATTAACCTCACCTGTAATTCTGCAGCCAGTTTTTCCAGTTTCTTTTATTTCTACTGACTAAATCAGATGCTGTTAACTGCTGCAGTTTAGAGAACTGTTCTATTCGTTCCAATTCCTTATTGATATTGGACTTTGTTCCAATTAAAGCAAAGAGTTGTGGGTTAGACTGTGCTAACATCAGCATCATGGAAAGTTGTCTAGAAAAAGAAAAGGGGGAAACAGAAAAAATAAATACTATCAGTTTCATATGATAACCTATCATCAGGCATTATACTGGTCAAGACTGCTTTTTTATTCTTCTAAAACAGTGTTTCTCAAACTTGGCAACTTTAAGACATGTGGACTTCAACTCCCAGAATTCTCCAGCCAGCATGGAGATACTGTGGAGGACATCTCTGAATTAGCTGCCCAATTCATCTTTCTCCTTCTCCTTCTGTCTTTCACTTACACTAATTTGCCAAGTTTGAGAAACATTGTCTAAAGGCATGTTTACATAAAAGTGGGCAGACTTATCTTTTCATGTTTTATCTGTGCTTTCAGCTCTGCAACATGACAGGCTGTATCATTTCCGTCTCTTCCCCCAAATGCAAATGCAAAAGGGCAGTTTTCACCAAGAATGGAACTACAAAGCAGGTTTTGCTTGCTTTCCTTGTATTAGTTATTCCACCCTATTCCCTTCTCCCCTTGAGCCACATGTATATTCCAGCCAGAAAGGGGGGGGGGATTTTATTAAATTTAGAGGCTTCCTGCTTTCCAGTGACTCTGATGGCTTGCACTTTAAAAATTAAGAACAATTACAATTGAGAAAAAAGTCATATATGTCCAGAAAAAGTATGCAGAACACATCAAAGGAGAACTGGTCAAGTTCAGCAACCACCTTGCTCCAAGGTCTAGAAGAACCACCAGCTTTTCAAAAACTTCCAGAATACCATTAGAAGGGAGCTGTATGGATCTTTGGGGAGATACTGTTCCAGAGGACATCTCTGAATTAGTTGCCCAATTCATCTTTTTCTTTTCCCTTCTCCTTTCCTCTGTCTTTCACTTACACTAATTTCTTAATCCTGATATGCATAACAAAAAGTGGAGACCTTGCGGGGGGGGGCACTCCATCACATCCCTGTACATACTTATGAAAGAGCATGTCCTATTATAAATTTGTAATTGTATAATATTTTATAATTTATAATATTATAAATGTGTAATTTTTAGGCTCAAGGATGCTTGGAGTTAAAATGATACGTTGAGACTTATTACTGTAAGATGGGTGGTTAGTAGGCAAACTCTAATGTCTGCTCATTTCAACTCACAATGGCTTCTAGCAGGTAATAGCTTAAAATCTCCAGCTGAATTGATATATAGAAGAAAATGTTATTTCAGTCCCCTGGCCAGAACTATAAGAACATTGTAACAGCAATGCTGATCTTTAGCAGTCAACCTTCATGTTTATCTATTCCACAGCTATATTTTTATATAGATAAAATTTGATTTGTCAACAATTATTAAATTAGTCTTCATTCCCAGAAATACAGACACAGCATCAATGCTCTCACAGCGCTGTCTCATAGCTCAATATACCTGGGATCCATCTGAGGCTTGTAAGCAACTTTCAGTTCCTCCAAAGATGCACACTGCTTTGAAATCTGATCTAGAAACTCTTCTAGCTTTAAAGGATCAGAATCCACAAGGAAAGAGTTTAGCAAGCAGAAAGTATTTGTAAAATCTGCACCTGCAGAACAGATTAAACAAGAATGTTAAGTTCAGCCATATAAGAGAGCCTCAGCTTTTTATTTCAACTTTCTATAATTGAGTTCCAAGTGTTTTTAGAATTGTAATATTTTTAACGTATCAAAATTATCCAGATGTACGTGACCAAATGGATGATTTTGTTTTTTAGTATTCTGAATATGAATATAATGCATACTAACCCGTGATGTGCATAGTCTCCAAAAGGTCGAGGATCAGCTTATTATCATCATCTAGCTGGAGTTGGATTAAACCTAGTTTCCTTCTCATGATTTGCAAATAATGCTTCTCAAATTCTGCATCGTATTCCTCCTCCAGAATGGGTATGCTCATTTCCAGTGGAAGTTCTGGGACTAAGGCTTCAGCAAATTTGGTTAGATTCCACTTACAAATCTCTGGTTGCTTATTATAAGCATATCGTCCTGTGTTATCAGATCCATTGCAAATATGTTCAGGATCATATCTATAAAAGATATAAAATGATACAGGACAATATTTAACTGATATGGATAAATTCCATAATATCATTAAATACTGCAGGAAGCACTCGGATTATATAAAGATTGTATGCATCGCTTTCCAAGATTAGTTAATCAAATATAAGACAGGTACAAAACACAAAGTTGCAAATGACAGGTACAGATGGAAGAAATTTCAGAGTATTAAAATTATCATTACATTCATTTTATCACTTTATCATCATATTAATCTAGATAGCATTATTATCCAAAGCAACAACTTTGACAGATACTTATATGACATTCAGTCTATGGTCTACTAGTTAGAGACAGGATCTTTTTATAGTCAGGCTCTTCATCTTGTAGGAGGTTGTCTGAGTGGGATTTCTATATACAGAATTAATCACTTTGGACTGACTCCACAAATACTTAAATAAACATACTGCATGGCAAGAATACAATTTATCTTAAATAATAATTCAACATGCTTCAGTTTCTTCCACTATGTCCACTAAAGATTACTATTAAAAAAAATTCTGGAAAGAAATTACTGACCAAAATTGCACTATGAAGATAGCATTGATACATTTTATGTACCTGAGCTACACTAACCTGTCCATAAATCCAAAAGGTCCATAGTCAATTGTAAGTCCAAGTATACTCATATTATCTGTGTTGAGCACACCATGACAAAATCCAACACACTGCCATTCAGCAACCATCCTGGCCGTCCGTCTTGATACCTTAAAATATACACCAATTAGTTTTCAAGTTCTTTTAATCTATGAATTGTATTTTAGAAGAGCTGTGTTGATAATAACATGGTAAACACATGTGCATATTGAGCATTTTCTATTCTAGTATTCATAGGGTTTTAGATTTCAGTATCTAATAGACCTTTTAATTTCGGAAGATACCCTGCATATCAGAGAAGAAATTGGTGCAGTGGGATCGTAATTTTTCCTGTGTACGGATATTTAATTTCACTGGGACATAAATAATGTTTTGTTCGTTTTGCAGGTCAACAACCTTCAAAAGTACTTTCCAAAATCTGAAATTATACAATTAGCATAAGATAGACTTGAAATGAAATGTGACTCTCAGGAATGTTCTGTAAAAAAAGAAAATAAACTGAAATCTTTATAAAATAACGCAATACCTAAATTTAGAGATTGAGAGATGGCACACTGCTATTTAAACAAGTTTGTGAACAGGAATCTTCCTTTCAAATTCCTACTCAGTGATAAAGAACAACTAAGAGGAATTAGCCTAAATTAACTATGGTGCTAATAACTGTATACTAATAAGCCACTCTGAATGCCTTTGAAGGAAAAGTGCAGATTAACTTAGTGAATGCTTTAAATTGTCAGATAGTTCTCATCTTACCTCTCGAAAGAAAGCAACATTCCTCTGAATATTATTGTCTGGGTGTGTTTGTAGAATCTCTGGATAGAAAGTGCTGATCACATAATCAAGCATTTGTATTCTAATATCATTTCTATCAACACTGGGACCTTTACGTCCTGTATATTCATCAGCAGGTTTAAAAATTTCAAATGATCCAAACCTGTTTAAAATAAGGGATTGTCAATTACTCGCATCCATTCACAGGTTATTTAGTTATTTCAGTAAGGTTTCTTTCTCTGTAACTATTTTTTTAAAATATATTTAAGTATAAAATGAAAATAAACTGTTTTCTGATATAATAATAATAATTTCTAAATCAATTGCACATATAAAGAGATAGCTAAATAATGATTCAGAAATGAAACCAGTCATTGGGTTACAAAAAACAAACAAAAAAAGCATCTTCCACATATTAGACTAACAAAGAAAAACTAGTTATCCCAGCTTTGTGATCCCAGAAAACAATGAAACTGAACATTTACAATTTATCATGACAGTATGCAAAAATCTTGTGTACCTGATTAACTGCTATCCTAATAGCAATTTTTCCATATCACATTCAGTTATATAGAACACCAAGCTTAATATTATATCCAACCACAACAATTACCTAATAAACGTTGGTGCTATTCTTAGTACAACTGTACACTTCTCTTTTTTGGGATTCCCATCATAAAATATATCCCGAATCACTTCTGAATCCGATGTTACACATGTCCCTGCTCTGGTTGTTGGTATTCCTAGATGAAACATAGCTTCACTGCAAAGGAATTCTCTTATGCTTGATCGTAGAACTTTACGACCATCCGCTTGTCTGAAAATAATAATAAAAAAATTGTATATATATAATATAACCTCAAAACTGAATGTAGCAGACAGGGCGAGAAATCATCTTACATATTAAAGAATTTTGTATGGCTCATGTCGCCAAACTGAATTTGTTACTTTAAGTATTTTCAGCTCAAGTATTTCCAACCTAATAAGCATGAATGTATGGCTTTAGTAATCCCCGTTTGAAACAGTAGTAGTGTACAACTGTAGAATGATCATTTCTGACATTCTTTTAGGAACACGAAAATAGACAATGAGTGCTAACAGACAGCACGTCTGGTGTAGTGGTTAAAAGCACCAAGCCAGAAACCAGAAGACCATGAGTTCTAGTTATGCCTTCAGCACAAAGCCAGCTTGAGTAATCTTGGGCCAGTCCCTCTCTCTCAGCCCTGGGAAGGAGGCAATGGCAACCCACTTCCAAAATCTTGCCAAGAAAACTGCAGGGACTTCTCCAGGCGGTTGCCAGGAGTCAGTGCTGACTCAAAAGCACCAAAAGGGAGGCGGGGGGGGGGGGTAAGGAGTAGAAGTGACAAATACAAATGCATGCAAACCAGACCTTGCTAGAAAAAGAATACGTGTAGTGGAGATCCCAAACCAGTCAGGGAAGTGAGAACAAATCAAGGAGTGAAAAGAGACCTTAGGGCCACTAAGTCCGACTTCTTTTTGTTCAAGAATCTAAATTAAAGCATCCCTGACAGATAACTGCGTCAGCCCGTAATTAGCTTCCACGCCTATTTATTTGGAGTAGTTCAGTAGAGGTGACTGCACATGGCAAAGGTCCTGGCAGAGAAAAGGAACCAAGCCCTCTACAGCAGGGTTCCTCAACTGGGGCGACTTGAAGACGTGTGGACTTCAACCCCCAGCATGGCTGGCTGGGGAATTCTGGGAGTTGAAGTCCACACGTCTTCAAGTCGCCCCGGTTGAGGAACCCTGCTCTGCAGAATCACACAGCTGGAAGGGGCCTCCGAGGCCGCCCAGCCAACCCCGCGCGTGCGTGCTGCAGGGGCCGCTGCGTCTCACGAAACCCAAGGAGCTGATCCCTCTCCCGTGCTTACCGGGAGAAAGGGGTGAGTCCGGCGCCCTTGAGCTGGATCTCCCAGCGCTCCCCTCGCGGGTTCAACACCTCCCCCAGGTAAATGGCCGCGCCGTCGCCAAGCTGCCCCGCAAAGCTGCCGAACTGGTGGCCGCAGTAGCAGTGGGCGGCCGGCTCCGCTCCCGGCGGCGGCTGG